AACAAATTGTGAATAAAAACTGAATGCAATGATGTGGAGGTGCCAACATCTAATATTTTATTCAGAATAGAACACAAATCACAGATCAAAAGTTTAAACTAAGAGAATGTATCATTTTAAGGGAAAATCTGTTGTTTCCTAATTTCATGGCGTCAACAAATCCCCAAAAAGTTGGGACAAGTCCATTTTTACCACTGTGTGGCATCCCCCCTTCTTCTTACAACACTCAACAGACGTTTGGGGACAGAGGAGACCAGTTTCTCAAGTTTAGAAATAAGAATGCGCTCCCATTCATGTCTAATACAGGCCTCTAACTGTTCAATCGTCTTGGGCCTTCTTTGTCGCACCTTCCTCTTTATGATGCGCCAAATGTTCTCTATAGGTGAAAGATCTGGACTGCAGGCTGGCCATTTCAGTACCTGGATCCTTCTCCTACGTAGCCATGATGTTGTGATTGCTGCAGAATGTGGTCTGGCATTATCGTGTTGAAAAATGCAGGGTCTACCCTGAAAGAGATGACGTCTAGATGGGAGCATATGTTGTTCTAGAACCTGAACATAGTTCTCTGCATTAATGGTGCCTTTCCAGACATGCAAGCTGCCCATGCCACAAGTGCTCATGCAACTCCATACCATCAGTGATGCAGGTTTCTGAACAGAGCGTTGATAACAACTTGGGCTATCCTTGTCCTTTCTGGTCCGGATGACATGGTGTCCCAGTGTTCCATAAAGAACTTCAAATCGTGACTCATCTGACCACAGAACAGTCTTCCATTTTGCCACACTCCATTTTAAATGACCCCTGGCCCAGTGCAAACGTCTGAGCTTGTGGAGCTTGCTTAGAAATGGTTTCCTCTTTGCACTGTAGAGTTTCAGTTGGCAACGGCGGATGGCACGGTGGATTGTGTTCACTGACAATGTTTTCTGGAAGTATTCCTGAGCCCATTCTGTTATTTCCTTGACAGTGGCATTCCTGTTTGAGGTGCAGTGACGTTTAAGGGCCCGGAGATCACAAGCATCCAGTAGTGTTTTACGGCCTTGACCCTTACGCACAGCAATTGTTCCAGATTCTCTGAATCTTTTGATGATGTTATGCACGGTTGATGATGATAACTTAAAAGTCTTTGCTATTTTACGCTGGGTAACACCATTCTGGTATTGCTGCACTATCTTTCTGCGCAACAATGGTGGAATTGGTGATCCTCTTACCATCTTGGCTTCTGACAGACACTGACACTCTGAGAAGATCTTTTTATACCCAATCATGTTGTCAATTGACCTAATTAGTGTTAATTGGTCTTCCAGCTGTTCGTTATATGCTCAATTTCCTTTTTCCAGCCATTTATTGCTACTTGTCCCAACTTTTTTGGGAATTGTTGACACTGTGAAATTTTGAATCAACATATTTTTCCTTTAAAATGTTACATTTACTCAGATTAAACTTTTGATCTGTCATCTATGTTATATTACGAATAAAACATGGACATTTGCCATCTCCACATCATTGCATTCAGTTGTTATTCACAATTTGTTTAGTGTCCCAACTTTTTTGGAATCCGGTTTGTACAATATTTTAAAATCCTAAATTAAATCTGGATGTTTATAGAAAGTTGTGCAGTTTTGTTTCTTTGCTTATTCTATAATTCCATTTTCTGATAGTACACACCTTGAGGTTTTTCTGTTCGTTGATCCAAAATTGTATCATAAACAGGCCATAAACATTGTAAACGTCTTAGACTTGTTCTGTGAAGTGACATTCAATATAAAAACAAAGTTTCTAAATATCTGATCCATCTTCCAGAACCCTTTCGAACCATTCGAGGTGGATGTTAGGTGGTTTCTCGAAGATGTCACCCATTCGACTTCATCATAACCCAAACACATTCTGATACTAAAAAATGCAGAGCAGCATTTTCGTGTGCTGAGACAGCTCAACTTAACGATTTGTAAAAAAACCTTTAGAAATGTCTCATTAGTTGCCAGATATAAAATCACTGAGCCGATCAAATAATCTGAGTGAACTGGCAGCCAGGGTGTCCAGCACCCTGGGCAGCCATCAGAAATCAATTACCATCCCTAACAGAGGTATCATCATGCCTGTGGCACAGTGCCCACAGAGAAAATTACTCTCTGATTGCACTGCTGCTGAAATAGTGTGTGTGCATGTGTGTGTGTGTGTGTGTGTGTGCCAGGTTTACTGCTCGTGTGATTCCACAGGTGAGGGCATTTGTTCCAAAGCTGCATCGTGTACAGCGAGAAGTCAAACAAGTGTCAGCGTGTTAGGCTGTGTTTCCTCTCATGCGTGCCTGATGCACTCGCAACTCAGAAGAGTCCTAAAAATAAGAGTGTTCAGATGTAGAACAGCTGTTGGAGACGACGTGAACATTCAGCACAGACTACGAGTTTGGAGTTAGCGAGCAGATGTAAATGAAACTGGGAACCGAAGGAGAGCTCGAGGTATCAGGAAGTGCAACATGAAGCTTTAGGAAATAAAAAGTATCTTTTGCGTCCTGTGTTAGCTGGACCTGTTTGTCCCTGAATCCCTCAGGGAGCAATTTGACTTTTATTCTAACTCCGTCTAGAAGAAATGCAAAAGTTAAGCTCAGATATAAAGTGTAATTTGTGCAGATGGCACTTAGCAAGCCCTTTGGTCAGTTAGGAAACTAAACTGAAGATTGTTTTAACCAAATCAAATATGCTACATATTACTCAGACTCTTGGCTACAATCACAACAAGCTTTAGCTCATTATACATGCACATGACTGAGTTAGCTTCATTTATGTGTTGGCTAATGTCGCTTAGCTGTGGCATCCATTTTGAGTGATTGTGACTCTGAAAGTTAAACAGTTGTAGAAGTGTATCCATTGATTATTTTCAGAAGCTTTTATTCAAATCTGCCTGATGGTTCATGAGATATTTTGCTAACAGACCAACTGGGTTGATGCGAACAGGCACAGCCAAAGTTTTAGGCATGACATTTCACACTGTGTTTCACTCAAAGTAAGAGTTGGAGATACGGCTAAGCTGCCACATCAAATCTTAGCTAAATATCTGTCGAACTGACAGAGTTGTATCTACTGTTGTGTTTGACATTAGCTGTGTCGGCCATCTTGCATTGCATTGTATTCAAAAGTGAACAAACTTTTGACGTGTTTTCAGTGATTTCTTGCTGAGAGAGTCATTCATTCTGCTAAGATGACAGACAAGCACACAGTCACCTGTGCCTTGGGCGGTGGTCTAAAACAATATAACTGTACGCGGCCCTGATCCGTTTCATACACGCGCTTGTCTTTTTTAATACTTTGAACAAGGCAGATAAAATAATTAGCGGAGCAAAAGCAGAGTATAAATCATCGTGGAGGTGGTGTTTGTCTTCGATCGATGGCAGCTACTATCTGTCACACAGCTGTCACACAGCTGTCAATGAGCCAATGAAGACTGAACTGTCCGTGGTGCTGAAACCTCCACCCAAACATTCGGCCTCACACATTTTCCTTTCTCTCTGTGTCCACACGACAACAATTCAGAGAAAGAAGGCACCTATAAAGTTTAAACTGCCCTGATCAGTCCATAAATCCATTTCATCACCTGTTAGCCAAAACAACGTGCGTGTGTCTTCTTGTGCAACGTGTCCAATTTCATCTCTTTCATTTAAATGTCACGTATAATGCCGATGATGCTGCTGGTGATAACGAGAATGGGTGACTTGATGGGCCCCGATGGGGCCCAATGAGTCTGGGGCTGCTCAGAAAAATAACAACAAAGCATCTGGAGGTGCAAAAATACTAAAAAAAAAACAAGTAAAACAGAGGAAAAGAGGACACAAACTGTCCGGCAAAGATGCTTTTAATTCCCTGAACTGTCAATAAAGAGAGCAGGCCTTTTACCCATGAGTCCATCTATGCAAAACACAACAAAACAGCCCCCCCCCCCCCCCTCTAAAAATAATGATAATAAATGAGGGTGGCAGTAATTATAGAAGCATTAGTGTGCAGGAATCCCACTACACCCTTCAGACAGCAGGATGGACACGACAGCTGCTGCTGCAGGTACAAACCCAGCAGCGTGTGATGAGCTGCTTCACGCTGCAAACTGTCGGTAAAGGTGCCACGCTGCGACACACACAAACACACACACACGCGCGCGCTCTCCTTAGCCCCTGTTGCTATGGAACCTGTCGCCAAGGCAGAGGTGTGATGGAGGAGGTTGATGAGGGGCGACGGAAGACGGTGCGGATGGCGGTTTGTGGGGAAGATCTGACGAGCCGACGCGCTGCCGGGGGTTCGCTCTCCGCAACGTGGGTGGATGGATCGCGTAATACTGCGCCACGCAAACACAGCCATCCCACAGCGAGACACGCACGGGTTTGGATTCACTCTTTACTGGTTTTGTTTCAGTAATAATAAAAACTCTTTACAAGTGAGCTTTGCTTGGATTTTGTGCAAAAACTCTCTGACCTGAAAGGCACCCCATACAGACCCCCCCCCCCCCCCCCTACTGCCACCTGTCATTCCTTATACGCGCTGCTGATAATAATTATATTTTTTAAAATCACATTTTGGTTTATACCCTCCACCACCAAAAAACTAAAGGAGCTTTGGTGTCCAAAGAATGTGCGCGCGCTTCTGCTGTCATTTTTTGAAACAGGTATGAGTCTCCAACATTCATGTTCCCGCCTACAAACAGCCTGTTGGCTAAATATGACCACTGCCCATCCCCGTTCTGCCACAGAGGCCTGTCAAAAGCGACCCCCCCCCCTTCCGCCCCCCAACCTACAAGTGTGAACCGAACCAAGACCTGGAAAACAAGGGCCGCATCCGTGCCCGCAGCTCTGTCGCACAAGTTCCCACCCCCCCAGAAATAAGCAAACTGTTGAAAAGATGAGAGCGAGCACCCCTTTCCCCCTCCCATCCCCTATTTTGGAAACCATACCTCCCTCTCCCCACCACCACATGATTGAATGTTTTAGTTATGAATTAAAAAAAAAACATGGCACATACCTTGATGGTTCTCAAGGGTGTCCTCCGGGATGTACATGTTTTTGCTTTCATTTACCATAAATGTATTCCGGCGGTATTCCTATAGGTGAATGGGAGGAAGAAGGAAAATAAGAGGGGGGGAAAAGCCCCCCCAAAAATAAGGAATTACAAGACAGGGGAAGAAACAACTGTCTGACACGGACAGTTTTTTGTTGTTTTTTTTTGTTTTTTTTTTTTTTTTTGTAGGGGGGGTATTCCGTTTTTTGCTTTTTCTTTTTAACGGGGAGGGTCTCTTCTCATGGAGCGAATATTACCTAATTCCCATGATGGAGGTGAAGGAGATAAAAAAGAGGGAGCGTTTGGCGGAACCGGTTGGGAAAACGCACCGGTGCATCCCTCGGTACATCCGGGCCCTAGGCGAGAAACATGAAACCAGCAATCCCAATTCACACCTTTTGCGCTCCTTCCTCTGGCGTCTCCTCTTCCCTCTCCTCCGCTCGTCGTATAGAACCCCCCCTCAAAACAAACAAACAACCAAAAGAAGAAGGTTTCAAAATGTTACGATGCGCCGCTGTCAGTGGAAGTAGTGCGCAAAAGACGCATTCGTGCGCATCTTCAGCAGCAGCGTGTCAAAATGTGAGGGGATGGAGAGGAGGTGGAGGTGATGGAGGAGGGAGAGGAGGTGGAGGAGGGATAGAAGAGGAGAAGAATTAGGGAATGAGAGGAGTGTAAATATTCCATGCCGGGTAGCGCGGGGTTAAAGCTCCCAAAGGGTTGTCGGTTATTCCACGCAGAGTCCCCACGATGAGAAGGAGCCAGACCGTCCTGTCTCATCCGGACACGGGCTTCTCTGTCCGGATCCAATCCATGCTGATGGTCCAGGCTGTGCGTCTGCGAGTCAGTCAGTCCGCCCTGTCTGCCTGTCCGTCTGTCTGACTGTCTGTCTCACTGATCGGGAGTTGGAGCTCTCTCTTCTCTGCCTCTGCTGCCCCTGCAGCTCAGCTCTGCAGTGATACAGAGAGAGAGAGAGAGAGAACGATCCCCCCCACTCACCCCAACTCCCTCCCTCCTGGTGCATGTAGACGCTCTGACTGTTTCCAGATGTGTGCGCGCGCGCGTCTTTCTGTGTGTGCTAAAGAGAGGGAGAGAAAAGGAAGAAAGAAAAGGAGAAACTGTGCGGGCAGTAGTGGGGAACCGGCGGCTGGGAGCCAGATGAGGTTCATGTTGATGATGATGATGATGTTATGATGCGTGTGGGCACAAAGAGAGGGGCCCACAATATGAAAATATTTAGCAAGGAGAAAAAAAAAACATTTTTTTTTTTCCTGTGATACAGTGAGAATGCTGAGTGACTTAGCAGAACTTTGAAGAAGAAGATGAAACTGAGTCAGGCTGAAAAAAAAGCTAATTAAGAGCTAAAGGTACAAGGCTGGCTAAAAAATAAAAGTAGCAAAAGGTTAGCTTAAAACAAAAGTGGCTAAATAAAAGTACCATAAGTTCATAATCCAGGTTTTTTAAAAAAAATTCAACAAAGTTAAGTCAGGTCATCTGGACGGTTTCTTTCTTTTTTGTTGAAACGTTTCATCTTTCATCCAAAGGACTTCTTCAGTCTGAGGAGCCACAACAAGCTCAGTCCCACAGTCGTAGTGGGCCAACCAGTTTGGACTTTGATGTTTTGAACCACTTTGGCTATGGCTGCCTCAGAGGAGTCGACGGGGGAGAAGTCGGGCTTCAGAAACCATCTTATCACCAGCAAACTGGTTGGTCCACTATGTGAGTGTGCTGCTTGTGATACTGAGTTTATTGTGGCTCCTCAGACTGATGAAGTCCTTTGGATAAAAGATGGAACGTTTCAATAACAACAACAACAAAAAATCAATCAGATGACCTGACTTAACTTTGTTAGGTTACCAGAACAGTAGTTCTAAAAGCTAGCTCAAAATAGAAAGAAAAAAAGTTAAAGCTATAAAGTAGCAAATTTTAGCTAAATATCAAAGTAGCAAAAGATTATCTAGAAGCTAAAGGTTGCAAAATGTTGCTAAAAGTAGCAATAAACTAGCAATAAAAAAAGAAAGTGGCACAAGGCTGTCTAAAACATATAAGTAGCAAAAGGTAGAACCCGCTAGCAGAATGATGAAAGTATAAAAATGCCAAATAGATGTTGTAGAGCAACAAATTAGCTCAAATGTAACAGAAACTTGCTATAGGTAAAAAAAAAAAAAAAAGTATTAAAAAAATTAGTTAAATGCTAAAGCAGCAATAAAAATACAAAATCAAAATACAATAAAACGAGCTAACTGCAAAAGACTTAAAGGTGTGAGTTGCAAAGGGCTAGCAGAAAGAGAAACAAAACAGATGCTAAAAACTACAAGTACCAGAACGTAGCTAAATGTCACGCGTAGGAAAAGCTTAGTTAAAAACTAAAAGTAAATGAATGCAGAAGCAGAATTTAAAGAGAACAGTGGTTTTAAATGAATTGTTGATATCTTGGTGTGTGTTTATGTTTCTACTGGGAAAGTATTTTAAAATAAAAACAAGTTTTTTAAGTATAAAACAAAAGCCAAAGGTTATAGCACCCGTCTCCTGATGAGCTGAGTGACATCATTAGATTGCAAAAATTGTTTTTTTTAAATAGAAAAACAATAGTGTGAAATCAGCACTCGCAAAAAGAAAGGAAGGGGCTGAAACATGAGTTTGACTACAGACATGGAGGAAAGTGTGCCTCGCATGTGTGAAAGAGGAAAATGAAGGGGGATAATGATCCGTGGTAGCCTCACACTAATTTGCGGAGGAACAAACAGAGATTGCAGACCTGGATATCTCATTGGTCCGTACTCCCTTCACATCTGGACCCTTTCAGCTCCATTCTTTTATTTGGCCTAGGTTCTGTTTACATGCTCACTAAACGTCTTTTTTTTCCCCAACTCTTTTGTGACTTAAGCTCTGATCTGTTCACGGCCGCCTTCAAACAGGAAGAAACCACAAGGACACTGTTTTCTTGTTTCTATTTCTTTCTGTGCTATCTGATTGCAGTGTGGAAGCAGACTCGAATCTCACTCGCTCAGAAAGGTCAGCACTCAGTGAATGTGAACCCTTTTATCCCCAGGACAAGAAAAAATATATAAAAATTGGAATCTGATTATGGCTTTTCTCTCTCCTTTCCCCACCCTTAGGACAGTGGAGTACGTTTCGACATTGCTCTCTATAACCAGAAACAAATTTGTTCGGGCCCTTGAGGCACGCCAAGTCATTTTTCTGGAGATGTTGGCCCTTTCTTAAAAGTCGCACAGCAACGACATGAAGCTAATTTCAGGGTGAAAATGTTAAAGCGAGTCAACAAGAACACCTCTTAACAAAATCAACGGCTCCGAGTCAGTTTGGCTCTGTCGTTGCACAAATAACTGAGCTGTTTCCTCCAAGGATGTCCAACGTTCTCACCAAACACAAATTCAGTATTTTACATAAAAAATGAGTTTTGAGTCCCAATAAAACTTAGAAAAAATACAGTTTTTGCAGAGCACAACGACCACATGGGCTCAGTAATGCATCAGGATGTACAGGCGCCTCTGTCTGAACAGTATAGATACTAATCATAGTACTGGCCTTTCAGTATAATTGTCTGTGACACTGAATACGAAGTTCACAATGTGCAGGCCTCATGTCAATCTCACTGCAGGCTATAATCAGGAGGTGCATCGGATGACTCAACCCAGCCTGCATTCATGAGTTCAGCGCCGCACTGCAAAGTCAACGCCCACCATTCTGCAATAGCATGAAGCTTTTTGTCCACATGTGTCACCGTAGACGTAGTAAAGACAGGGAGACAACTTAGAAATGATTCAGTTGATGGCATTTGACAATCGAATTGTCCTTTGCAGAACAATCTATAGAGCTTGGTGATTCAGAGGTTATATTAATATACTGAGGGAAGGGTTGCTGGTGCTGAAGAATGAATAGAAACTCCCTTTTTAGGGACTTAATTTACAATTTACGAAAACGTGAAGCTAGTTCTACTTTAAACATGCTTATTATTAAATGCTTATTATGCACTTGACTGAGGAACAGCTTCTACCCTGAAGCTGTTAGACTCATAAATCCCAAACCAGGATTATCACTGTGAAAAAAATCACTGTAATGCCACTTTGATTGGTGATATGTGCTGCTGATAAACCATGCTGCTGATCTCATGCTGCTGATCTCATGCTGTCCTCATCCTCACACAGACTCATGTTCGTGCTGCTGTTGTTCGGCGTATTGTTTTGCACTATTAGTGTTTAGCGTATATCTTAAATCCTTATTTACTGTTTCACTTTATATTTTTGTTATTGTTGGATGTAACTGGGACCCTGAGTACACAATTTCATTCCACCTCATGTACCGCATGTGGTGAAATGACAATACTTGAAATTGAACTCGAAAATGATTTTTAAACAAATAGACATGGCGGAATGAATGAAATACATCAATACATTTATCAACATTTTACACAAAATGGTAATGATTTCTGAAAATGAAAAAATATAACTAACTCAAGACAATGTGCAAACAAATTTGTTAAAAACTGTTTTGGTCATGTTGTTATGACTTATATAAAGTTGTCAAATTACTCGTTCTGCTGTATTTTCTTTTGTAACAGATTTTAAAATATCCTTTAAAAGACAGAAATCAAAAGATGACATGAAAGTAATTTATGGTTATGTGACATAACTAATTTTTTCACAGTAAAAAAAAAATTCTGTTAGTTGCAGTTGACAGACATTCGCCCTAAAATAGATCATACCAGTGTACAACCCATTAAAATACACTTTTATTGGCAGATTTAAAACAGTGTGGATTACACTTACTGTGAAAAGTTTTTGTGATTATCTTATTAGTATTAAACATGGCTACTTTTAATGGCCATGATTTAACTCTGTTTTTTTCAGTCATTTTCTGCTTCGTTGTTGTTGTTTTTTCCTCCTGAAAACCAGAATTGTTTAAAAGTTGTTGTTTTTTTAACTTAAAAACTGGCAACAAAACATACAAATAAAACGGGATCAGAGAGACACGGAGGAAACAGAGCACAGGGAAGCACAATCTACGGACCAAAGGATCAGGTGAGAGTGGGAGGGGCAAGAATTAGTTTAGTTTAGTTTATTATTTTTTGAATATGTAAAAAAAAAAAAAATAGCATGAAACATAATGTCAAAACTTTTTGTTTTACATATTCAAGGGAGTGGGTAGAAGTATAAACTTATATACATTTATGTTTTAAGAATAGAAACCAAGTGAGTGGAAAGACTCTGGAGAACTAACTAAACACATGATGATGAACTAAATAGGAATCATCGAGACATGATTGATCCTGACATTTTCAGCTTCGTATAACTTTATGTTCTGTACAAACGATGGCGCTTAGGTTGCGTCATCGTCACATTACGCTGTTATCTGATGCACCAAGGCAGAAATAAAATTAGATTATTAAAAAAATGTCCAAGGTGGAGCCAGTTTTATTGGTTTTATGAATTACTCTGTTCTAAATCTAGAGATAGGGTTCTGTTCCATAATGTCATAAGATAATGCATCCAAAGTGTTACAAGATAAACTCGTGACCCTGAAATTTGAGCAATTATTTAGACCTGCATGAAGTTTATACTTGGCGCCTCTTTTTGCTCAACTAAAATGGGCTAAATAAGAAACGGACTTGACATCTCGGCTGCTTTCATTGCTGCAGATCTTGCTGCAAATACACAGTGAGACTCGTGGTGGGCTGACTCTCCCCCAGACTGGCTTCTGTTAGTCTGTGAATGGAAGACAGACAGGAAGGACCGAGAGAAGGAAGAGTGGACGGAGGGCAGGTCGTGGGAACAGATACTTCTGCCCAGGGGACACGCAAACATGCAGACACACACACACTAATGTGCCTTAAAATCCAGCCTGTTTGTGGAATATCACTTCCATTTTTGACTTTTCTATTTTTGCAATCGACACTTTTTGTATGTGTGAGCGTGTCCGGCTTTAAAGTCCAGTTTGTCTCTGGGAATCTAAGACAATTGTGTAAATGTAAGAAATGTAAGCTGGTTTGTTAAAGGGGGAAATTCCTGCATGGAAAAGGAACGTTTTTATTCTGCAGCATAATTTGGGATTTGAGGCATTTATGAATTTATTGACTTTTTTTTAATTTTTTTTACCCTTTACAGCCGAGGGGGGGGGGGCGGTGTCTAATGGGAATATAGAGTTATAAATATTTAACTTGATCCATTTAATGTAGCTGCATTAATGTGATGCTACACAGTCACTTTAATACTGTTACTCTGATACTACAGAACTTCTACTTGTTAGGATGTTTTTATACTAATATTCTGGCATTTATTTGTCCTGTTTATGAGAAAGTGTATTAAAACTCAGCTCTTCAGTCCAAAACCAGATAAAGACTCAGATGATGAATTTCATTTCTCTATTATCTGGAGCTGATGGAAAACAAAGGTGGAGAACTTTATAGGCAAGCTTTTTATCACCAGCTCATCATGGTTCCTTACATTCAAACATTTATTTCTGCCTGTAGTCCCTGTTTTATTTTTTTTACTTTTACTTTAGTCAGTTCCCACCACTAAAGGTGAAAGGGCACAATGTTTCTGCCTCAGCTTTAGCAAACACAAAAATGTCTAACTCAGTCATTTTTAGATATATTGAGCTTAAACTTGATGTGGTAGTGGATGTGGCTCATTGCTCACACTTATTCTGAGCAAGGCTTGCAAAATACATGTGTACAACTTTGACATGAAAGGTGGTGGGCAGTACATTATTTAAAGGAACGTTAGTAACCAACAGTTGCCAAAACCTACAATTAGCAGAACGGCAGCTAAAAGCTAACGTGCTGAAAAAGATTGGAAAAGAACAAAGATTTTCAAGGATTTTGAAGAATTCCTTATTCATTCATGAGGAGAAATGTATAAATAAAATGAAGTATTGCAGAAAGTGTAAAAGTTACTATACTTGCAATGAGAGCTGAATAATTCATCAGTTAGTAAGTTTAACTTTAACGTTAAAGACAATAGGCCCTTATTTCTACACTGCAGTATTTTTCAAATAACTTAAATATAACAAAAACTTTTCAAATGGTGTTGAAGCTTTTGGATTTGGTGTGCCCCCATCTTGCCACCCCTTTGAAAATGTTCTGGAGGTACTCTTAGAGTTCCTGCAAACAGGATTTAGTGTCTTGGGGCCATTAAAAAAAATAAATTTTATATATATATATATATATATATATATTGGATAGGCTGGGTTAGTTGAACCTAAATTTTATTTTTCTTGTTTAATAATCTAAAATGACTTGTTGGGAACTGGTGTCATGAATATACTGAAACGATCATATTGGAAATTGAATACTTCAGAAATCTAAGACATCCTTCCTGGAAATGATATTCAAGGATGGAACAGTAACTGATACAAGAACAAAAGTGTCTGAGACTTGAATCAGCAATATCCTCCTCATCATCATCGTCATGATGAATCTGCATTTTCATTTCTGAGTCAAGACCATCTGAGTTCTCTGACCAGTGCTTTAAAGTTAAAAAGTAAAACAAAAAGACAGAAATATTGCACTTGGTCATATTTGTTCTTCAGATAAATTCTTAATCTGGAAAATGATCAAATTTCATGTTTCTGTCAGTAGAAAATTAATCTGCAGCGTTTATTTTGAACTCGGGCATCAAAAATCCTTAGCAAAACAGATTCTTGTGGACTTCATAAAATCGTATTTCTCATCAGACGAGGATGGATTAGAAAACTATTTCTTAGAAGTTTGAAGTCACCATAAGACTGATCAATAAGTCACCATCAACAAAACTCAAAACCACAACAGAATGCAAAACGTTCCTCCCCATCTGCAGCTTTCTAACAATATGAAACCAGGTGGTGGCTGGGAAAAAATGTGTTGTGTGAAAAAAAAATAGCCCCAGAATAGACTTTCATTTAGGAAAATCAGAAGTGTTAGGTTTAAAATTAGACACAGGAGGTTGATTTTGTCTGTGAAGCAGAGTGAGGACATTGTCTGAATTTTTCTACATCTTCTGATCATTAACAGAACAATCAATTCTAACCACTCATCGTCATAAACAGCTGTTTGTGTGAGTCAGTTTGAGCCTGTCAGGAGTCGGACTGTGTTTTTTTTTTTTTAAAGTTTGTTTGGTGTGAGTTTGCAAATGATGGGCCTAATGAGTTATTCATCAGCACATTGATAATATCAATAAGCAGTTTATCTTATAGTATATATACCTCACAGACTCACAGCAGGGTTTAGCCAGCAGGAAGCATGTTGAAACTGAACAATCCCAGAAAAGGCAACAATATATAATAGCTTATATGCTATGAAAAAACAAAAATTGAAATACTCATTTTTACAACAAACACATTTTAAGTAAAGAAGCCTAGCATTCCTTGAAAGAATGCATATCACCCACCCACTGCCATTTATGTCAAGGCATTATGTTATATTTTGATAACAGGCAGATTCAGCGTTTGACACTGTCTGTCCAGGGGGCCAGCAGGGGAGCAAGTAACTTTATAAGGTGGCACCTTTATAGAGCACCTTGGCAAATGCAACAACCACAACACAATTTGATATGTATAGGATTTATGTAAACTTATCAAAAAAAAAAAAAAATCAACCTGAAATGATAATGTACTAAGTACTAAGTAATAATATCACAAGATAAATATCACAAGCCAGCATTTGTTGTCCGAAAGCATTGCGGTCACAATAATCAATCAAAAACCTTTAAAGTAATACTTCAAAGTGCTACCTCTGAGACACATAAAACTGCTCTGAATGTAGGAAGAGGATTAAACGCTGAGTGAAAAGGCAATCCACTTCTAAGCTTTTTCTTGTATAGAAACTGCAGTTCTTTAAACGTGGAAGGAATAGATTAAAATCAGTTAGTGATAATATGAGTAAGAGTGATCATCCAATAAGAGCTCAAAACAAGTAGGGTGACCTTTAAAAATAACCATGTCCAGAGCTTCATAGATTATATTCATGCAGCTCGTGCATTAAATCCACTGATGATTAGTGTAAATGGAATCTCTTTGATGCCCCCCAGTGGATTTAATGGGAAATGTAACATTGGACTTAGTCTGCCAAAACATTTAGGAAATTAACAAAGACGTATTACATGCAAATAAATGTAAAACAAAGCTTAAAGAAAACGCAAAAGTAGATTTTAAAATGATGGACTACTTTATGTAATTAGATTTTTTTTTCTTCACATAATCATAATTTTCAGTCAGTCACAGAGGGTAGTTTAGTCACATTTAAAGGCAATGAGTGGCATAAAGACGCAGTTTGTATATTTTTTTTATTATGTATTGCTCAAATCAAATAAAACGAACCAGCATGATTGTCAGTGGTTACATTGTACATCGCGCAATCGATTTTGTTCCATGTTTTTAATAACCGAAAAATCATGCGGGTTTTCCCCACACCAATCGATTTTTCATAGTCGATTGATCAGGATTGAAACTTGCTGTGCAGCGGGCGGCTACTCATGTCTGCGTTGTTTACAATCTGTCTCTGGCTAAACATGACAGTTGGAGCTCGAAAATTCTAAACAAATATATATTGATTGCCCTTTTTTAAACAACCTCATTAATCGATAAAGCTGTGTTTTTAGATTTAGATTTTATTTGTTTTTATCTGTGAGTCGATACTCACTAAAGCTAGTTATTTAGCTAGCTAACGTCTCCATTAGGAAACAATGGCAGCAGCTAGCAACAGCTACCTTGCTGCCAAAGGACTGGATATAAGTTTAGCTGCTTTGCAGCGACAAGACCCTTATATAAATAATATCGTGGACGTGGCCAGCCAAGTAGCCCTATATACTTATAACAACAGGGCAAATGAATGGGTAAGTCTGAAGACCTGTTAAATATGCCATATGCTAACTTAGCTTAGCTTCACCTGTCTGGTAGGCGCGTTTTGTGTCACTAATACATAGATTTAATTTAGTGGCGTAAACAACGCAGAGTTTTTAAAGGTCAATTAATTGATTTTTTTTTAAAGGTTATTTTTCCAGATGATTTTTAATATTGCACCTCTAAAGACAAAAAGGTTTGCTGTGATAGTTATGAAGTAAACTTGGTAAACTTGTCAGTTTGTTATAAGATTATCAGTTTTTGTGTTTTGACAGTATAAATATCTGGGACAGACGTAACCAAACATTGAGACAACATTGACCTCATTCTTTTTTTTTATTTACTTATAATGTGTTTGCTTTTGCTACTTTTAGGAAAAGACAGAAGTAGAAGGTACCCTTTTTATCTACACAAGGTAATATAATAATTTAAAATTGTAAAATTGGTTTTATTATTCAGTAGTTTGTTGTAGTGGTTTTTTTTTTTTGTTTTGTCTTATCTAATTTTATTGTCACCTTGGTAAATTTTGTACTTTTTGCTAATTAAAACGTTTAGAAAAGGTTTCTTTACAATTACCCACAATTGGAATTTAGTAAAAGCAAGTAATGTTTGCATTATGACAAATGACCATCAGTGCAATTCATTACATGGCTAAATTCAGTTTGTTTTCAGTTTTCCATGTTCTTATAAATTATGTTCTTTACCAAGATTTCCTGTATTTCAACCTCCTTTAATATCAGGTTGGCATCTCCCAGACATGGATTCACCATCATGAATAGACTCAGCATGGAGAACTTGACCGAGCCCATCACAAAAGATCTGGATTTCCAGCTTCAGGACCCTTTCCTGCTTTACCGCAATGCACGATGTAAGGCTTAATGCACTTTTTTGTTTATATTAGTTTTTAGTTTTCTTGTCCTGTCATATTATTCTGCAGCAAGAGTGCTGACTAAGACTAGAAAGAAGGCTCAAATTATTCCAATTCTAAAGTCCTTACACTGGCTGCCTGTTAATTTTATGATTAATTTTAAAAATTATTTTATTGGTTTATAAGGCCAGGTCTTCCATGGCTGAGCACTGGACAATGCCACAGAGACGGTTTTGGTTTACGAATCAGGACGACACCCCAGATCTTGGTTCCTCTCTTTTAGGTGTTCCACAGAGCAGATCAAAAGCTACTAGAGCTATTTTTGTCTGCTGTTAAGGATTTTGAATTGCATTTGACCTCTATGAAACGTGCTAAATATGATTGATAGAACAAACTGAATCTCTACTGATGACATCACTCTCTCATTTCATTGTGAATTGCTGTGTTTTATATACTTTTCATACTACTCGGTGTACTACAGTTTGAGTAAAAATGTTTTCTTCAGAGTTAATATCATAATGGCTGGGTGAAATGATAAATTACACAAACCAAAATGAAGGGTTTGGGGTGTCATGAGGAAAAATTAGAGAAAGTTGACCTAGAGAAATATCAAAGCAGTTCACTTAGTCTGCTCTTGAAACTTTTTGTGATTATCATTTTTCTTTGCTTTGCATTATTTTCTATAACATCTTTAAAAAAAAAACGAGTCCAGTTTCAGTATTTGTGTCAAATTAGCTGTAACTTATGATTGTCATGTAGATCAGTCTCAGCACTTAGTCTATTATTAACTTTTTTAAACTCCCCTTGCTGTTCAAACTGCCATCAAATTGTGCTCCTGAGATTGCTTGTAATATTTCTCAGAAGCCAAATGTGATATTTATGTGACTTTGAAATGAGGTCATGTCTCAAGGAAAAGGGAGCATGTTAATTTACTGCAGCAGCAAGGAAGTCTGATAATGTTTTAAACGAGTAATATGCAGATCATTTTAAAGGGATCTGATAATTCCATTTAAGGAGCTAGGCCCATTTTATCAGCCCAACTTTCCCTGAGACGTCCATATGGCTCCCACTCACACAATCACATCTCTAAGTGTGCCTGTGGGACAAGAGTCTGACAACACTACAAAAGCAGCCAGCAGAGATTAGATAAAACACAACGGTCACTGAAAATCTAAACACACACCGATGCAGAAGTCACTGACAGACAGAGACTCCCCCTGCCGTCTTCTGTATCTTTAGACTCTCCATCAGGTTCTGAAAAAGGCAGGTGGAAATGGATTGCTTACGCCTGCTTTGATCCCTGTTCTTTGATGGTTTGCACCTTTTCTGCCTGTTTTTAAAGCTACACTGAGCTAATTAAAGATGAAATGTACGAGTGCTAACCTGCGGTCAGAGCATCGGTAATGGAGCAGGAGTTTTAGACAAGAGACTGAATCACTTGTCGTGGGAAGGAAATAAATGTTAAAACACTTAAAACCAGTAATCACGCCACAGTTTATGACTGTTTCCTCAGTTTAAAAAGAAGTATTAAGTTATGCGAGTTAAGGAGGGGGTATAAAGCAAAGCTAATGGTAGCTTCAACTGATTGCTTTGATTACAGGCTGATTGTTAAAAGCCAAAAAAAAGGAGATATAAATAATTGTTGTAATCAGACTGATTTTTATCACTCACTGCCATGATTTAGACAAATTGTTAACAATCTGGATTTAGATTTAAAACATAGTACACAGTATTGCATTTGAACTGAGAAACCGCCTCTTAAATGCACTAATACACACAAAGCAAGAGTTGCATAACAATTCGTGAACATCTTAGCAAATTAGGTCACAGAAAATGTGTTTTTCTTGGCTGACATCCGATTTGTTAGTAGTTGGCTGCCAGTCCCAGTGCACTGTGACCTGTCGGTAGAAGGGTCGTGGAATCTTATCATTAGACAAACATGTAGCCCTCGGAGCTGCTGCAACTTCCTGGAATGGTGGTTGGCAGAGAGCGGCACCAAATGCTAAAAATAAACAGTGGAGATATGCCGCAGAACAAGGCAAGATTCTGGGGGGAGAAATTTAGTCTGAGCAAGACGTTATTTCACTGTCCTCTGGAGCCCGAGGCTTTTAACATTCCCTTCTCGAGGCACTTACAGCCTTGGAGAAGTTGTCCATTATCTCAGAGAGCAAGTTCCCAAACCTCAGCAGTGGGAGTGCCTTGATTTTTGGCCTTTGCTGCTGAATGCATTTAATCACCTTTGAGATATTTAGCGTGTTTGCTTTATAATTAAATTTGTCATTTATGTCTCGTGCTTTATTCATTTTACATTGAGTTTAGTTTAAAACCTTAAGTCTTTTGAATAACGCATGTAGGGACGGACTTACCTCCAGGTCGGACAAACGTGTATCCCAGGTCTTTCTCGGACACCAACAAGCCCTTGTATCTGACTTCAGGTTCCTCCTCCAGCCTCTCGTGTTTAAGCTTCGTCTGAAACAGGCCTTTCAGCATGGTCCTGCTGCAGTTTTAACAGTTACTATTCTTTCCGTCTATCCACAGCTTGCTTTGAACCGATCCTAATTTAAAGCACTTGAAAAGTGTTTTCCTTGCCAAACAATTCAGTAAAAATGTTGCCATAAATGATGTAACACCACAAAACAAAGACTTTCAGATGATGATGCACTGATGGCACTGTGTGAAAGTCCTTGAAGTTGAATGAAGTTGTCTGTCCCAGCAGCAGAGGCACGACCTCTTTAGGCCTGGTCTGCAGTCAAGCCTCAGGTAGAAGATGTAAAGTTGCCACAATCGTGTCTTCTTTGCTGCTAGTTTCAGAATCTGTCCATGTCAGCGCTTCAAAGTAGTCACGATAATTCTCTTTAAACAATAAATTGGACATCCCAGCTACCTAAAAGTCTGTTTGCGTTTTTATTTTTAAACCCAATCACCAAAGTATTCTTAGAGTAGTTCCACTGGTTAGATTTGGCTTACAGCTCAATGCTATTGTTGTGTTGCCAAGCACAATTTAAATCCTTGTAAATCAAATTTAAATCTTCTGATACATTCAGGTTCCAGCAGTAACACGATCTTGGCTGCACTGTCTCGCTCCCTGAAGGGTAGGCAGACTTCTCTGGACCGGTGATCATTGAGTTTTCCAAATGAATTTTTTCAAACTAGAAATAAAGAGTGTTTTAAGAGACCTGCCAAGATTTGGAAGTCCTCACCCGTCTTTGTGTCTGTCCTGAATTTCGGTTTGCTTTTGAAGTTTTCGTGCCACAAGGTCATTCGATTGAGGTTTTTTTTTTATTCTTAGCTTAAAACTTAATTTCGAACGTCCCTTCGACTTTGTCTGTCGCTGTCCAAAAACCAGACTGGAGCTCCCCCTCTTTTCTCTTTAGCACAGTTTTATCGGTGCTACTAGTTGTAGTCCTCCTCCCCGCTTTCGTTCCGCCAGTTCAATCTTCCTCTTCTTTTCGGCTAAAATAGATGTTCCACATGGAAGGAGTCAGCATTCCCACCACATTATTGCTTTCTTCAGGAGTAGTGGTAAGCAATGCAAAACACTTTAAAATGCTTTTTAGATGATCCTTTTTATGAGCAGCTCGACAAGGACAGGTCAAAGAAAATGTCTTAAAATGTCAAGAAATTCTTGTCCGGCTCTTTTCCGTCACTTCAGTTCAACATTTTTCCATCATTAGCAAAACTCAGTCTGTACAATATTACCTGACAGCCGGAGAGCTCCCGAGATCTACGTGTTCCCATTTTGATGGACTTTATAATGTCCCCTCTCTAACACCTCACTTCTTTCTATCCATTTTGCTCATTTTTCTTCAATTTTCCAGCTGCCTGACCTGAGCTGTGTGTATCTCTCAGGCTCTGTCAAACAGTTTCATCCCCATTGAACACTAAGTGGCTCTGGCTCCACCAATCAGTCTCTCTGCAGCTACTTATTTGGTACAGAGCTGATTTCCCAGGCTCAACTTAACTCAGCGTGCATGTCTGCCTCCCCTCGCTTGGTCTGTTCCCCTCATCCTCATTGACCTCTGTGTTCTTGTCTGTTGGTTTGGGAATGTGTGTCTGTGCTAACTATATCTACCACACAGCATTGTCATCACTTGAATCTAGTCTTTATGCATGCGTTTCTCTTTACCGTTCGATTTTAAAAAGCGCCATAGTAGGTCGTTTTCAGGTTTTAGCTTGTGATCACTGGCTTTATCCTCTTTTGATGCCTCCATGCTTATTTCTCCTTCACTGCTTCATATTCTGCCTGAGCATGTTCTACGTTTATTCTTTTTAGGTTTACAGCATCTGACTGATCCAGTCTATTATCACATAAGCATGTCACTCTAACCATCTTACTTAGCTATTAACCAGGCTTATACTGTATTTTCATATCATATCTGTCAAGCTCATGTTTTCATTCAGCCTTTATTTATACAGGTTAGTCTCACTGAGCTTCCAGGACTCATTGACAAGAGAAACCTGATTTTAACAAAGATTGATGACAACAGTAGACAATCATAAAAGAAAATTGAAACAAAAACAGCAACGTTGTAAAATGGTGTAAAATACTAAAAATAGGAACATGTCTCCGTTGGTTTTTGCCATGAACTTGGAATATCGATATATATCGTATATCGCGATTTATCTAAGAAAAATATAGAGATATTAATTTTGGTTCATATCGCCCAGCCCTAGTTCAATGTGATTTGAGTCACAATAAAATAGGCTAAAAGTAAATTTGGCATGATACGGTTATCAGGAGCCTATGATGACTATCAAGTTAGTGACAGCTATGCATAAAGATTGATTATGCTAATAAAAAACAATTACCTTTAATTATTGTGCGTCAATTGTTGGCTTCACAACTGGTTGTCCAGTAAAGGCTGTAGCTGTGATATAAAGTTATTTTGTTTTTCTTTATGGGTAGAAATGTGTAAATGATCATAATTCTTTTTTTACATACAATATTTTGCGTCACTGACATCTCATATTTCGCTTCATAAAAGGATTGTTGTAGAAACAATATAATCTAAGCAATTCTTTGAGTTAAATTCAAAAGAAATATAGGAAGTTGAACATGAGTAGAGGGTTAATGAGACCCCATACATTAATACGTCACATGATGCGCTTCTGTTCTGCTTGAACATGTTTATCAGCTCTGAGGGATGTTTTTAAGTAACTGGTAAGAGATGTTTGAACATAATGCATCTTTTTTTTGCCAGATTTTATTAGAGTTGTATGACAAATTTAGCTTCTGAGAAAAACAAAACAACAAACACATGAAAATAGTAGCATTACTCTCTGTGTAACCTACTTTCTAAGCTTGTGACCAAACCACGTTACTTTTCCCCCTGTCTTGCTGACCATGTTGATGCAGTTAAAGAGACTCCTGGGGCTCATGTTTCACTATATAATGGCACTGCTGGCTGCTGTTCCCATTGACTTGGCTGGGAATATGACTCATTTTGAACTCTGTGTTGCGTCTGCTCTGATGTCATCATAACAAAATTGAGCTGTTGCATGTCTGTGTAGTTATTTGATTATAAGGGTATGGGAGGTCGACATACTCATTTTGTTGTCTGCTGACCTTACTTGTTGAGCACATCTCAGGACTGACGAGGCAGTTTCATTAACTTTTCTTTCCCCCCATTGTCTGGGCTATTATTGCAAACCACAAAATTTAGTTAGCTTTTTTTTTTATATAATGAAAATGGTTACAAATTCATCATCGTCTCTGTCGTACAAACACATTGTGTCTTTCTTCCCCAGTGATTATCCATGGCATTTGGTTCTATGACAAGCAGGACTGTCAACGTATTGCCCAAAGGATGAAGATGTAAGTGTAGCATTTTTTTTAGTTTCTATGAAAGTATTTCTGTTACAAAGTATATCATGAGAAAACTTAAACATCAGCAGTACAGCTGGGGTTTTTCTTTTACTGAATCTAAAGAGCAGCACCTACACTTTCTATAGTTTTCATCTAACAAGTTTCTCAAAGATGCACCAATATTTTTGCTGAAGCACACATTAGGTGTAAACGATACAGAGTTAACCCTCTAACTAAAAGCTTGTCTTTCTGTAGACTGTTTTGTTTTTATGAACTGTAATTTATTTTCCTACAATTTATGTCTACATACTTTAAGTAAATCCTACGAATCTGCACTTTATCCCTACATTTAAATTTGTCATTTGATTTTTTTAAAATCTGAGTAACAAAGATCGTCAGGTTCTAACTGATTGTGTTTTTTTTTTTTTTTTGTCCAGTTTGACTCAGCAGGAGCAGTTCGTGGCTCAGTCTCGGGGGGGTTGGTTGTCTCCAGGAGGACGAAGAGCAGCAGGAGGAAGAGCTGCTAGTGGTGGAGGAGAAGGAGGAAATAATGATGCAAGCGCAGTGGACATTATCCAGATGTTGACCAAAGCACGCTCAGAATATAACAAGGTATGGGGGCAACAATGGTTTATTTAGGCTTAAGGCAAAGAAACCAGAACAATGAGTCAAAATGAAAATCTGTAAAATTAAACATTTTAATTTACATTTCTTCATTTTGACAACTAATACATTAGCTGTTGTGTAAAGTATTTCTAGATGTTCTGTGTTTATTCTCTATTTCTTTGACATATTAATGAAAATTTCTGGGCACGTTAATTTAGTCTCCTACCTGTGTCTGTCAGGAAAATTCTACCTCAGAGCCAAAGGAGATTGGTGGAAGCAGTGTTCTGTGTGGAAACCCAAACCTGATCAAACCAATACCAGTAAAACCGAATACTCAGGTATCAAATACAGTCTCCGTGTCAACTCATTGTAACATACAGTTCTGTTGTTCTCCATCTTACGCCCACTCTGTTTTTCTCTTCCAGGACAGTGAGGGTGCAGAGCACAAGACTCTCTCCTTGGCCACTCTGTTTGGCTCTCAGTCTCAACATCAGCTTCAACACACTAAATCCAACGCTGCCCTTCCTGTGACAGCGTCCACGTCTACAGGAAAAGTCACACGCCCACCTGTGGCTCGCACATTGACCTATGACGATGCGGTAAGCTCTGGCAGAAATGTGACGTCTGCTCCAGGTAACGTCGCCCTCACAGCGAGTTCAGGTGGGGGGGTCGGGCTGGAAGCTGGGGAAGACGAAAGTGTCGTAGCTGCGCTTCAGAGCCCCACTGCAGCTCGTCAGCAGCCGTTGAACCAACCTCAGCACTGTCCGGCCATCGCAAAGCTAATGCAGGGGCAGAGGGGGGTCACAGGGGTTGGGGGCGTGCTTCAGACTGTGTCGGAGTCCCCCGAGAACCGGCTGTGCGATAACGGGGTGCCACTTGAACACCACCATCACCACCTGTACCACCACCACGAGCACCACCCTCATCACCACCAGCACCAGCTGCAGCATGACCCAATAAAAAGACTTTTCCAAACCCACCCAGCTCCTCAGCTCGCCACCTCCTTCTCCTCCGCTGCTTCTCCTTGTTGCTCCAACCCTCCTCCTCTGCAGCAGAACCCTCTTCTCCCCTCCCAGCTTGGAGCAGATTCTGTGTCCTGTTCGCACCTTCAAGGGCAACAAACCCAGCCACTTTTATTCCACCTCACAAAGTCTCAAACAGAAACGCAGAACAACCATCAGACGTCTTGTACAGCACTGGGAACAGGTGAGGAATCTGTGTTAATGTCAGTATTCACACATTTGTTGACACAAATACCAAATTTGATCTACTTAGATCCTTACTCTTTGAATACTCCAACAAGAAGTCCTGGAATCAGCCCTAATGCTCTCTTATCAGCTCTGTCCTCCCAGATGCAAGGTGTGGTGTCGCCTCATGAGCTACTCCACAAACTCCAGCTGGTCCAGCAGGAACAGAACCTGATCTCTCACGATCCACCTCGGCCCTATCCAGGACTGGCGCCTCGATTCATGGGGCCCAACCATCATCAGGATGCAGGCTCTTCTTCAGGCACGGTTCCACACCTGACCATGGCTTCCACAGGTCAAAAGGCTGCGTTGCAGCTTCAGGTAAAGCTGAAGTTAGTGTTTGACTTTGACTGCAGGAACGATGGGGCACTAAGGACAGATTGCATTAGATTATAACTTTAATAAAAAAGAAAAAAACTATTCCCTGTGTGTGCAGGTCATCTCCCCCAAGAGGATACCCGCCACTGTAGCTCCTACTATGCTCCTTTCTCCCAGTGTGTTCACTCAGACAAAGTTGAGCAGCAGAGCTGCTCAGGACAGCTGCTCTGGTCCCACAAGTCTGTGTAGACCTCCCCTGCAGGACGAGGTCAAAGCACTTTCTAGAAGCCAACTTCAAGCAGCGCTACTGCATCTGATCCAGGTAAATCGTTGTATTTCTGTTTATATTTTTAAATCTGTGCTCTCATGCATCACTAGGCCTGTCACGATAACAAATTTTGCTGGGCAATTAATTGTCTCGGAAATTATTGCGATAAACAATAATATTGTTTGAAATTTGACAATAATTAGCAATTACTGTCAAATTTAAGAAGAAATGTTTAATTTGTTTTGCGCGTAGTACCTTTTTTCGATCACCACATGGCAGTATAAGACCGTTTGAACCGAAGGATGGATAGTGAGGGAGCGAGCAGCGTGCCTCTTTAAGAAAAATTTGTGGGAGGCCCCTTGATGTGACATGGGCTGTCACGTCTTCGGTTCTCAAAATGGCGGACGCTCAGTGTGGTTTGAGCTCTTTAGCATAGCATTTTTCACACAAAGCTTTTAATAAAAAAATCAGTAAACAAGTTTTTGCAGAGAAAAACAACTTTTTACATAAAGACACGGGTTTCAACTGTAAATTTTGGAGCTTCGACAAGACAGAGATTTTTTCCCCAAGGTCGGCCTGTTAGCTTAGCTCGTAGCTTAGCTGCTTTTAACAATCCAAAAACTCGATTTTGGATGGTTAAAACATTTTTTCAAGAGAAGAGAAAGTGAGGGTCAGTGACGAGCACGGAGTTGAGCCTTTTGTCATCCAGTGTCTTCAGTAGAAAGAGAGAGACACAAAGAAACAATAAAGCCGATAAATGAAAATGAGGTTGATAATTTTAATTTATCATGTGATTAATTGATTTATTGTTTATCGCGACAGGCCCACGCATCACATGAACATTTGTTTTTGTTTGATCGTAAATCCTGCAGTACCAAGTTGCTTACTTACTGTGTTTCAGACTGACGGCTCATTCCTGGACTCCATCTATGAAGCATACGTCAGCCGCTTTGCTAACGACTCCAGCAGCAAGTACTGATGACTCTTCACACCCTCTGTTTCCACACGCTCCCTGTGCAAAGGCTTACTCTGAAAACTAATGTGGACGTACCTGCTCCTGCTTCGATTCACACTCGTCAGGCAGCCGGAATCTTATCAGTGTGCAAAAACGTAAAATAAATTATTAAATGTATCTTTTCATATCAAAGTTACACTTTCGTTAGAAAAAAAAACTATTAAAAGACACGACTTTGGTGCAAATCAAACGTGTTCTAACTATACTGTCTTGTAGGTGGAAATTTTTTTTGGAGCAAATCCGTTTTTAACGAAGGCAAACCATTGCAGCACTTTCACCGTTTTTTCAAGACGTTTACATTATTCCATTGATTTCTCCTTCCTTGTAGCCTGTGTCAACACATTAGGCTCTGGCTGCGGTTTTGTAATCCTGAGGTTGTAGGTTTGAACCCAGGAACAGCATGCAACGTAAAAAAAAAAAAAAAAAAAACGCAAAATATTTCATGAGTTTGCTCTCTGTGGTGACCCCTGCAGGAGGGAGCAGCTAAAAAGCTTCTTTTACTGCCAACAGGCATTACATTTATTAGATTTAATTTATTTCAGTGATGGGAAATACCTGCACTGACATCTTGACACTCATGAAGGGGCATGTTGTTGAAGAGGATGGAGGGGGACTACTTTTTATCTTTTGGGGGGAGTCTTGGTCATTTTATTCTGATCGTTGAAGCACAATAAGAAAAAAGAAGATTACAAATGTCAGACGAAACTACAGGAAACTGTCAACCTGCACTACCTCACAGAAAGCTAGTTTAAACTTGGAGCTTTGCTTTTTTTCAAACAGGCACAGCAGATTTTAAATATTAGATATTCTAAAAGGGATTTCTTCATTACTGACAAATTTGAACGAACTGAAGTGCACCTCTAGCTGTTGTCTCTTAGGTTTTTATTCATGAATATAGCTTAAAATATATTTTTAAAGCAAGTTCTTGGTGAAATAATATGTTTATTTTTTTTATCCTTTTAATTGAGCCAAACTATTTAAAATAAAAGCAAATACAAACATACAGTAATACAGGTGCAGCAACAACAACAAAAATTAGAATATGGTGAAAAAGTTTTTTTTTTGGTCAATCATTCCAGGAAGTGAAACATGTATAGATTCATTAAACTGAGTGAAATATTTCAAGCCTTTCTTGTAATTTTGATGATTATGGCTTACAGGTAATGAAAAAACAAACTTCATTCTCGTAAAATGAGAATATAGTGATGAGGTTCATTATTCGAAACTCTTGGAGTCACACCCTGATCAGATGATTAACTTCTAAACACGAGTTATAAATGTCACATTCAAGTTAAGCCACTCCTGAACCAGAGACGTAAGCATCTTACCTGCTGAGGAGAAAAAGAACTGGACTGTTGCTCAGTGGTTCAATATCCTCTTTTTCAGATGAAAGTAAATTCTGCATGTCATTTGGAAATCAAGGTCCCACAGTCTGGAGGAAGAGTGGAGAGGCCCAGAATCCATGTTGCTTAAAGTCCAGAGGCAAGTTTTCACAGTCAGTGATGGTGTGGGGACATGTCTTCTGCTGGCGTTGGTCCCCTATGTTTTCTGAAGTCCACAGTCCACGCAGCATCTACCAGAACATTTTAGAGATTTCATGCTTCCTTCTGCTGATTTGGAGATGATTTCAATTTCCTGCAGAACTCGACACCATCCCACACTGCCAAAGGTACCAAAAGCTGGCTGTAGAATATTCTAATTTTCAGTATTGGTAAGCCATAATTATCAAATTTATTAAAAAAAATAAAGGCTTGAAGTATTTCACTCATGTATAATGAATGTTTATAATATATGAGTTTCACTTTCTGAAATGACTGACAAAAGAAACTGAACTTTTTCACAATATTCTAGTTTATTTCAGTGCACCTGTAATTGTTCTCAGGGCAGTTTGATGCTTATCATTTTAGAAAATATAGATAATTTGCGCACTAAACTTGTATTCACCCATTTTATACAGTAGCATCCAAACTCAAAACAGCAACTTTAAAGAATATGTTTCATAAAATGCTATTTTTGTACTCTGAAATAAAAAAAAAACCCTCTTGATCCAAATAACCAGCATGTTGCAACTGATTAAACAGCCACAATTTAAATAAACATCACCGTTTTACACATTTTATGTCAAATACAATAGTATTTTAATTCAAAACAATTCTTTATTTTTAACCTTTATAATATCTCTCAATATATAAAACAAATGTAAAAAGAATATCAATAAAAGTTTTTCTACTGAAGTTTCTTCTTATTTGGGATGTTTGCCATAAAACTGAAATAAATATTTTTATTGGCTATGAAATGTTCCCCTCTTGTTTGTTTTGTTTGGTTGAGTGGGTTTAAGATAATTCTTTAGGATGGATGAAACCTCACGTTTCACCAATTACTAAATGTAGACTTTCATTGTTGTGACTGCTCATGAAGCATTCACACTATTGTGATTCATTTTTCTTCAGGACGTTTTCAGCATCTTTCTCGTTCCACAATTTTTGTGCTATTTCAACAAATCGTATCAAAAATGTTCAGCTCTTTCAGGAAAAGGGTGTTATGAGTTTTGGTATTGGTGCAACTTTAGCTTTTTGAAATGTTGAGCCTTTTCTGCCACTAGAAAATCAATTGAGCTCATTTTACATCCTTCAGCTCTTAAGATCAGTTTACAACCTTTTACAGCTCCTTTCACATTTTGTTCTGCTTCAGCTTCTTTCAGCTTCCTTGTGCAAATTTTAAACATTTTTCAGCTACTTTCAAATGTTTCTTTAACTGTTTTGTGATTCTTTTAGATTCTTTCTGCTAACTACAACATTTTTGTGTTCTATATTCTTTCTGCAAATTTCAGCGTTTTCTGCTATTCCAGCTACTGATTTTATACTAATTATAGATGTTTCAGCTAATTCCACATTTTTTGCACTAATTTCAACTTTTTTTCTGCCAAGTTCAGCAAAAATGTGCTTTCCACTTCCTTCTGGTAATTTAACCTTCTTTCTGCTTTTTTAGCTACCATTCAGCTATTTTTTGGCTAATTTAAAAAAAAAAAAATTCAGTTAATTCCCACTTTTTTGTGCTTCTTTCTGCCTAACTGGGCAAACGTGTATTCTTTCTGCTTTCTTCTGCTAATTTAAACTTGTTCTACCTTTTCAGCTTCACTTAGCATTTTTTAGCTAATTTCATTTGTTTTCAGATAAATTCAAGTTTTTTGTGGTAACTTCTAATACTTTCAGTCTAATTAACTTCTTTCTACTAATTTTAGCTTGTTATGCTCCTTTCAGCTTATTTCTGCTAGTTTCAGTTGTTTCAGTTACTATTTAGCTGTTTTATGCTATTTTTAGCATTTTCAGCTAATTCCACATTTTTTTGCTCATGTCAGCTCCTTCCACTTCCTTCTGGTAGTTTAAACGTCTTTCTACCTTTTCAGCTAATTTTCAGCTATTTTGCTAATTTCAACTTTTTAAAGCTAATTTCGTCTGTGCTCATTTATGCTTATTTAAACCTAATTCAGCAAATGTGTGTTCTTTCTTCTTTCTTCTGCTAATTTAAGCTTGATCTTAATTTTAAGCTAAATTTCAGCATGTTTTTAGCTAATTTCAGCTGATTTTCAGCAAGTTCTTCAGCAATAAGCATTCACACTGCATTTTTGCAGGAAATGCAATTTCTCAAGTTGCTTTAATGTCACTTTATTGCCTCGTTTTAAAGCAATCAATAGTAATGTTCTCTGTGGTTTATCAGTGGTTTTTACAGAAAAGGCAGCATAAAAAGATATTAACTCCAACCAACACAATATTGTTGGTTCCTGTGTTAATTTCTTCGCTGTACAATGATCTCATCTGAGAGGACTTACTGATATAAGATTGCTGTTATGAGATGCTTTGACTCTTTCAAAAGCCAAAAGTACAAAACCATTCAGAAAGTTTAGAGGCTTTTATTTTGTTTTCAAAAGTAGCTGGAATTGTGGTCAGTATTGGGTGAAATGATCCCAGGCTGCTCCGTCTTTCATCAGCATCCTTGTCTCCTTCCTTCCTGCTTCCTCTTTCGCAACAAACTGTGGCATCTCTCACTCCGTTAGACTTTACAGCCACGCGCTCCTTTAAACAAAGCAAACCTCGACTTTAAACCTGGACCATTTGGGATTAAAGCGCGCAGCAAAAGCTGGGAACCATTCATTTTGACGTGAATTATATAATACTGAAGCTCGCGTCAGGTTTGTCTAAATTCTCACTGAATCTTTTTGTTTTTCAGGAGTTAGACACACAAACTTCTCTCTGAGACGAGGAGGTTCCAGATCATTGGTTTAGCTGATGGAGCTAAAAGTAAAGGCTGACTATTAGCGGCGGCTTAGAGTAATCAATGATTTCTGGTGTGTGTGTGTGTGTGTGTGTCCATGCCCACACAGGCAGGCTCCACTTTTGCTGGTTTTGTATTCTCAGATGGAAGGTGCCCTCCAGCTTTCCACATTAACCGTTTTAACTTCAACTTGATGAGTCAAGTGGTTTTATTCCTCTAATCATTTTGTGGATCGGTGCTGAAAATTTCACCTTTAAACAAGTCTCCGAGGGTGGAAACTACAACGGGGAAATATAATTAGCTTCTGCAGGACAAAGGTGGGTACTGTCTGCATGCTCCTGTTTCTCCATGTTTATGTAAATGTATTGCTTGTGGATCATTGTACTTTTATTTCTGTCATTTTCTAGTTTGTATGCAGGCAACAATAAACATGTAGGCAAATGAAGATGGGATGAAAACAAGTGTGGCCTTATCAAATGAATATAACCAAGTGGCAACTTGTGCTTTAAATCAATTTACTCAAACTGGATTATGCTGAGTGATATTTACACCTACATTAAAGTATATAAAAAAAGTAATTTGCTAACAAAAATAATGAGAATGCTTAATTATGACTAACATTTGTTACAAAATCTGATTATATTTGGAACAAAACTTCTTAAATGAAGGACTTCATCAGTAATCTGACTCAACGGGAATAAAAGCATTATATATATATACACGTGTATAACTCCTAATATAAGTAGTCGTTATACGGACCAAAGCCTGGTCCTTCTTAATGGAATGTCGTTTCTGGGTTAGGTTTACCGTTAAGTTGAGAAATGTCGTTAGGGTTGCAATGATTTGGAACGTTTTTACTGTATAGAAATAAAAAATACAATTAAAGTACTTATGCTAAGTTTTGTATTCTTATATTTGAACTTTACAAAACTGGGCAGCTCTTTAGCAGATGATATTAAAAATGTTTAAATGGGCAACAATCACAATTCTTTACTTGGAATGTATCTACAGAAACCAACAATGTTCAATCAGGTCATCTGGACAGGTTCTTTTTGTTGCCGAGACGTTTCATTCTTCATCCAAAGGACTTCATCAATCCAAGGAGCCACAAACAAAGTCAGTCCCACAAGCAGCACACAGCCTCAGACGGGTTGACGGGGGAGAGGGCAGGCCCCAGAACCCATCTTATCACCAGTAAGCTGTTTTTTCCACAGGGAGTGTGCTGCTTGTGGGACCGGCTTTGTGGCTCCTCGGATTGATGAAGTCCTTTGGATGAAGGACAAAACATCTTGGCAAAAAAAAAAAAAAAGGAAACCATCCAGATAACCTGACTGAACTTTGTTGGATTTTTTTACCTGGATCATCGAGCATGAATTTTGATGTATCTACAGAAACTTTGCATCAGAAAATACACTAGTAATATGCAATTATGCAGAAAATGTGCTGATATTTTAAATGACATTATTTTTTCTTCCAGGCTAAGATTTAAATCTCATGTTTTAACACTTCTTAACTAAAAAAATCAGTTTCATTTGAGGTGGAAGCAAAAGTTCATTTGGACATAGACTACAAAAAATCTGATATTTTTAAGATGATGAACAAAATGTAATATTTTCCATTTATATTTTTGCTGTGAATTTAAATAAATCAAAGCATATGCCTGTTTTCTGTTTAGTTAATGTAAACAGATGACAAGAGAAGGCAGGAACCACAGTCAGCAGAACAATATGAGCGCTGTGTATAAGAATCCACTAGATGTCTCTGCATCTAAAAAAGCCTCAAACTCAGAAACTAAAAAAATGAAAAATCATCACACAGGAACTTTCTTTTCCTCTCTCCTCCTTCCATCATTCTCATCCTTAATTCTATCAGTTTGTGTATTCATCCATTACTGTTTAAATTATAAAAAAGGAAGGTTAGATTATATTAACTAAACAAAAAAAAATACATTGAGTGGAATTTGGTGAAGATAAAGATGAAAATGGGGCAAAAGATGGACGGGACAACAGACATTGGAGTTAGAAGATAAATGTGTCAGTGTGTGTAATTTGTAAGAGGGATGTAGAAAGAGGAAAAACAGGAGGGATAGTGGGAGGAGGGGTTTAATCCCGCCTGGATTATGGTATAAAGTGGTGCAGGAGAGGAGGAGGAGATACTCTGGGGAGAGAGAGAGTACCACAATCTGTTAACCAATCCATCCATCTTCTGTGCAATATTTTTGTGTGTGTGATTCTGTTTTCAAACTGAGGATGTGAGGTCAGCCCGAGGAGCAAACTGCAGCATTTTTTCTGGGGAGACGTCTGAAAAGGACCAAATTTGTTTGACATTACAACCTTTTTTATTATTATTATTTTTTTTACTTTTATTGCTTTGCTGGATTCAAAATTTCAACATGTAAAAGAGAAGTGGAAAATGTGGACAACCGAGCCCTAGAAAGGGATGTGTAGGAGGATGGCAGGACAACACTGTGACCTGTTGGGCGTAGACGTGACCTTTGACATCCAAGGCAAAACACATTCATTTCTTCATTCATTCATTTTCTTTACCCACTTTTTCCTTCCCGGATCACGGGGCAGCTGGTGCCCATCTCCAGCAGTCGCTGAGCGAGATAGGTACATCCTGGACAGAGTGGAAGTCCATCACAGGGACACATAGAGACAAATGAGATAACCACACTCACACTTACAATTTAGGTACTAATTAACCTAACGTATGTTTTTGGTGTGGGGGAGGAAACAGACGCATGCACGGAAAGAACATGCAAACTTCACACAGAAAGGCCGGGAAGCAAACCTGCGACCTCACTGTAAGGCGACGGTGCTAACCACTGTCGCCCCAAGACAAAAACCTTCTGGACTGTTTGATAAGCCAGGATTTCACACATCTGACATCACTTTACTCAGATTATTTATTCCTTTTATTCTGGATTTATATACATACTCTCAGACCAGCATGCTACTTTTTAGCTCTGTCTTCATAATCCAGTGAGTATATTTCCTTTCTGTTGGTAATGTCTAAGTGCGTTAATCTTTCTATTTTTAACATACATTTGCAAGTTTTGTTACTTGTTTTTCTTTGCTCCCCAAGAAAGACAAAAAGATTTTAGGTACTTCTACATAAAAACTGCAACAAACAGCATCAGTGCTGAATGACAGTAGTCTTAAAAATATGTTAATTATTATATTATTATAATTATGTTTAAAGTTAGCATTCCTTTTAGTATTCTTCATGTTTCAATATCTGGTTTACTCCTGATATGTGTGTGTGTGTGTGTATATA